AAGACTGGTGAGAGTGGCGAGCACCGCAAATGTATACAGGCATCTTGCACCAAAAAAAAAAAATAATAATAGTTCAACTTACAAAGTACTGTTACTTACCCTCATTAACAGTGTCTGAAATTAGTTTGGATATAAAATCATTATTATGCCACTATAAATTTGCATTATTATTCTTTTGTGAAATATAAAATATAGAAATAAATAACTAAACTATCCATTTAAATAAATTGGGGGTTTTCGCTCACAAAATTCCGTGACAGCGTCTCATTCACTATTGTTTTTTTTAGAAGAAAAAAAAAGTTAAATAATTCTTTTTTAAAATAAAACAAATAAAAAAAACCTTTTGTGAATAAAATACAGCTATCTCAACAGAAATTTTATGTAAGAATTATTACGTACAACTTTATTATGTGTGTAATCACGTTAAATTTTGACTCTGTGTCTGCATTTCTGGGGACTGTGGAGCGGCCCGAATGATATTTTTTGCTATAACGTTAACGATTCTTGATATAACTTGATAGGTATTCTTAGGATTACTTGATAGTTATTCTTAGGATAGGTACTATAGGATTCTTGATAGGTACTTTCATTCACAGAACATAGATGGCACTACCGTACATAATGCAAACATCCTGCGTTTTTGAAGTGTTGTAGCAGCTCATTCCATACTGTACGAACGTAAATAGTCTAGTTTTGGAAAATACCACCTATTTTCGATTAAATTTCGATTGAGCTATAAATCTAAGGCCAGAGAAATTACTTACGAAGCTGATTACCTCTAATAAACTGATAAGTGGCAAAGTTTTACTTCCGTTTTTATTATCGGGACATATGCGTCCCTCTCGTCTTGGATAGTGGGAACACATGATCCCAACAGTCCTGTGTGATCTTTGGTTTTCTTTACAAAATTACTCATTGAAGACTACTGGGACACATATGTCCCAGTTGTCAGGACTGATGGGACATATATGTCCCGGTTCTAAATCAGTGTTTAAAATCTTCCTAAAAATATAACATCTTAGTTTTAGCATTCTAGTGTGCCCTACTCATAGTTTATACTACCAAAATTATTCTGTTGTAAAAAAAAACTCGTTGTGAAAGGGTTAATGAGCAATACCAAAGATATATTCGATATTTTACAGAGAGAGATAATAAATTTTACCTTACATATGTTTTTTTATAAAAAAAAAAGACTTATACCATGAATATGTAAAATATTTTGCAGGGATACATTAAAAGTTTAAAGTTATTGAAATTTTTCTAAAAAAAGAATACCAATACCACATATATGTTTAATACTTTAGAAAGTGGTATTAAAGTTTTAAATCATAGATGTTGAAAAGCAAAAAAAAAAAAAAAAAAAAAAAAAAAAAAAAAAAAAAAAAATTCCAAAAATATAGTTAATATTTTACAGTGACAGTTAGAAGAAGTTATTTTTTACTTTGTTTACTAACCTTGGTTTAGTACCACAGTTGTGTTAAGTTTTAATAAAAGGATGAAACATTGTTTTTAATAAATTCTGGCATAATTCGCTTCTACTTCTAAAAACTTAAAGAACACTCCTTTTAAACTTTACCGATTCTAGAAATTTAAAAAAAGAATTGTGCCAATTAGTACATAAACTTATAACTACCAAGTCTCTCAAAAATAATTGACGGTATGTAAACTCAATTAAAGGAAAACGGAAAGGAGTATGGTTCCCTGCGTTCTGCTGAGAAAACTATTATTTTATTCTCATAAAGTTTTTAAATTTGTTACAAAGTTTGACAGCAGATGGCAGCGCTGTAGGCGGGTAAAATCAATATGCATTTCCTGTATGACAGACCATTGACCAACTGAAAAATTTATACAGATGGCGGTTAGTTTTGTACCTAAGACTACGATACGTTGCTATTGCAAAGGATGGTTACTTTTAAAACATTATTTTTCAGTAAGTAGTTCTATCTGTAAACGAACTTTATAACTAATTTTGAAGCTTAGAGAGAATAGAATGTCTAGAATAAATATCTCCATTATTTTTTTTCCAAATCGTCAGTAACATTTAGAAAACTTGGTGTAAAGACTATTGATTGATTTAAACTACAAATAAAAATTATAATAATTTTTTAAAGAATTATGTAATAAAAAAAAAATTATTTTTTAAACTGAGTCTTGCCAAAACTATAAAATTTTAGGAATATATCTTGCAAAATGAAATATTACTTGATACATAAATTACACTTACTAGACATAACTTTTTGCGTCATATAAAATTATAAAATCAATAGATTTCATAAAGTTATCAACCAAATCATGGATCATACGTAAAGAGTACATGCATGAAAAGGTAAAAGTCATACATACTATTTTAGACTGAGAAAAAATGTCTTAACTTACCAGCTATGACGCCCTCTGTAAAATAATAAAATTTACTTTAGAAAAAAATTATACTATAATATAAAAAAGTAATGAAATAATAACAATTTATAACGACTGCATTTTATTTAAAAAAACAAATCCTCAATAAATAGTGAAAATCTAGATGTGTTTGGCTGATATCGGGACGCAGTTACTGAAATTGAATTTTAAATTCAACTATTATTACGTTTTTGTTCTTTGTTTGTCTAGAATTTAGACAAAATCAAAAATGCAATGATGAAAATAATATTCATTTTAATCTAGAGTATATATATATGGGTCATTCTCACGAAAACTGTCATTTTTCAGTTCATAAAATCCCAAAAAAGTGAAGTGAATAGAAAGCTCTGAAACTTTTTATATTAATAGAAATATGTAATGGCATTATAAAGAAAGTATATATCCTATAAATTATACTTAATATTTAAATTAATCAATTTTTTAAATAATTAATTTATAATTAATTAATTTATAATAATTAAT